AATTATGCAACATGTAATTTTGAATATTCTTTTTGCAACTGAACATACTCTCGCGTCTTGTTTAATGTAATGCAGTTACATCATCTTCGCGATTTCACATCGTCCTCAAGACGAGAATTACGTCTTCGACGAGAACGTTTCACTTCTTCTTCGCTATCCATAGAATTTTGCTTCGCGGTTTTCATCATGAATGTATTTGCAAACGTTTTCGAAACGAATTTTCCTGCTTACTTCCATCGCGGCTAAGAAACATTACGGCGAGATCTCTGTTTTTACGAGATTTTTATGCTGCCATTAACAGAAAACTCATCACGACCGCGCAGCAATGCGTTTCAAAGCTTTATTTCACAAACTGTGTTCGCTCCAAATAACGTAACGGTCTATGAAAAGAAAAAAATACAGAGTGTTAATTAACGCGAATCACATAATGTTTATCTTGGTCGAAGGACGTTTATGCAATTTGATTAGCGTTATCCGGATTTCATCGCGAGAAAATGCCGGCCAGACGTCAGCTGATATATCACACACAATATATCAGTTGCTACTTAGAAACTTCCGACAAACTTGCATTCTCTTGCGTTTACTCTGCTAAGATCGTGTGTATCCATTCATCGACACGGATATCTTTATCCTCGCAATGTCGCCGCGTGAGAAAGTCACGCCGATCCCCCCCGGCATCATGGGAAGTTCTCATCAGCGCGCGCACACAGCGTCTACTTTGGAAACTTTGATAGATCGGCTTTCTCTTCTTTCCGCGCGTAAAGAAGTACTTTTGGGGTTCATCAAATCTTGGCCAAAACTCCATCAGAGAGGAAAACACATCCGGCGGGAGCGTTTCTTGGCATTCAAGAAAGAGGGAATTCAATTACCACACGGCGGTTTTCCCAGAGTTGCTCGAGAGGTTACCGGCGGCAGCGGCGAGAAAACCGTCGGAGGCCCGCGTTAACGAACGGGGGAAAAGAGCGCTAAAAAGCTGAGCTTAACGCGGCGTAGATGAACCGTGGTACGCTATCGCGACAAGCTCATCCGGGAAAAGCTTCTCCGTTTACACAACCATTCGCGGAATTCACGTTGTCTCGCGGCGGAGAAATGTATAATAACGCCGGTTGAAAATCCGCGGACCGTCTACTTTCCGCTCATTATTAAAATGAAGATTTTCGTTGCCATGAGTTTCTTATGACAAACAAACTTGCGCGTTTTTGTTATTAATATATCTTTGATAATAAATAATTAAAAAACCAATATCGACGAGTCACCAATTTATTTACATACATAAACAATTTTACATATTTCGACATGTCGATGATAAAGTAACCGATAAATGTTTACGGCAAATTCTAATACTTCAAGGCTGCACAATGAAAATAAATTTATACCATAAAACGTTCTCGGAAAGAAGAGAGGAAGAACGCGCGAGAGTGAGAGAGGCGCACCGTAATTTTCGTATTTTCTTTCGCGCTATCTCGTCCGCGCGTCGATATGGACGGTAGTAGTTGCTGCTTGTACGTAAATCATTTCTCCGCCCTTCTTTCGCACTGTTGTTACGGGAGTACAACCATTTTCTCGCGTGTTCTTTTTATTTGAATTCCCTCTCTACGCTCAGCTATACCTTTTCGCATTTTTCTCTGTTTCGCACACACACACACGTCTCGCCCCGTTCTTTGTTCGCGGCTTCGACGTGCATTTCCGTCGATATTCTTCCTCCGTCGTCGGTTGCACTAACAATAAGTCCCATATATGATTCATATCTAAAATCCCTTTCGCGGATTGTAGCCTGATTAAACGTGGTTGCGAGAAATTTATGAGGTTCTGGAAGAAATTTCGGGTTGCTGAAGATCGCGCGGAAGATTGCTCAAAAGGGAGTCGCGCACGTTGAAAACGGCAACGAACTTACTGCGTCTTCGGATTATATCTACGGCCTTTAATCTGCTAGATTGGAAGATACCGAGAGAACGAGTGGAGAACGCTTGTAAAGAAGAAAAGCCGTGCAACAACGACGGGGTATCGCAACCTCCGTTTCTCCTATCCTTATTCCAATTAACCACGACATAAATTCTGCAACCTCTTAACAATGTTTTTCTGCGCGGACAAAAGAAGATATCCAGATAACTTTCTAGCAATGGAAAATGTTAGCTTGAACTGCTGTGCGTCTTGGAATTCCGCCCCGAGTTACTCTTTTATAGTCACAAGACAGACAATGCAATTTTCTAAATTGTTTTCTATAATATTTGTACATACATATATATTATTTCGATTTTCTTTCTTGCTTCTGCAATTGTTAATTTATTGTTTTATTAATAGCGAGTTTATACCGTGACTTCTCTTTGGGAGAGATAATTTTTAAAATCTTAACGTCAAGTTTCCGTTGTTTAATACAAAAAGATCTCGAAACAGCAGCGTCGTCAAGCCAAGAAATATCTACGCTGCGAAGAAAAAATGTCCTCTTTCGTTTCGTTATCGAAGCGCGCGTATGAGAAACTTCGAGAAAAATTCTTTCCTCATCCTTACGTTTTATTCTCGCAGCAAAAATGGTCAGATTGTCGTGAAACGTTGCATTAGTCGGACGACCCGCGGATCTATCGTGTATATCCGCGACGTACAAAACGCACGTGGCATTCGTTGCGGACGGCTGTTCCGGTCGCGCATTATACGCTTCCGCGATAAAACTCCTCGAAGAACCACCGGATAGTCGTTATTGTCCGGGTTTTAAGAAGCACAATGGCACGGGAACGATATAGTTCCGCGCTCAGTGAAGATGTTGCCAAGGTCCGAGGGAAGGCAGAGCCGGGAGTTGTGGGAAACAACTATTCCCCCGATGGCGCACGCGGTTTTCACGACTCCGCGACAAGTCTTTTCCATCCCTCTTGGGCGTCTTATTTTGTCGCGGACGGTTAAGTTGCGTCGCACGCGACCTACTGCCATTAATTGAACGAAAAGAGGAAAATAACGCCGCGCTGTGTGGACCCGCGTTCTCCTTATTCCACTTGATCCTAGAACCACGCACCGACCCATTGTATCCGTTCGTTCTGACGGGGCTCACCAGGGAAATAGAATGGCCGCAATTAATCTCGTCCGGTACAATTGGACCAAGAAGGTGCGCGCTACGTTCATTACCGCAATATCTCTCGCGCTGATGGCGTTTGCTCGCTCAAGCACAGTCTGTCACGTGTCTGCGGTAGAACGTCATTCGTTGTACGGATTGTTCTTAATATATTGCCAGTTTCTTTACGTTACAAAAATAATTGTCAATTTTGATAAAACTAAAGCGCAACGAGAGTTAAAATAACACACATCTTTTTTTGGCAAAATTTATCAAAAGAAATATCAGATTGAATTAGTAGATGAGCAAAATGTGAAGAAAAATTGAGAATCGTGCGGTAATAGTAGTTTACTGCGAGCAAAAAAACTATTATTACTATTAGCAGTTGTAAGTCATTGTGAAGAAGAATGGACGCCATTGTGCGGCTGCGAAACTTCCCTTTATTTTAGTCTCGCTTCATTACATGAGCGCGTGTAAGAAATACGACTTTTCAGTTTTCGGTGAAATTTCCAACGGAATTCGGGCGCGCGCGAGCGCTGCAGAAACACATCGGATAACTGCCGCTTGAGAGTTTCAAGTACTTCTGCAAGCAAGAAAGATATCTGTTCTAGCTCGCGCAGCAGGTGAAGGCGAAATAAGATCGAGGAAGGAAGGGCGGGGACTTGCCCAGCAACAGCTGTTAGAAAACTTTACAGACCTTTGGGGTAAATAATCTCGAAGTGCTGAGACGCTCGCTGGCAAGAGAGACTCTCGTTTCTCAAGACTGTCGAGTTATGATAATTCCTGCAGTTCGCTTGGTCGCGCGCCACCATTGCGAACAAGACCAGGGGACTGACGACTGAGAACTAATATGTAAGAAGTTCAAAAATACTGACCAAGTTTTTCTTGATTGATTTAAATATTTGTAAAAACTCAATCGCGTACAAGTCTTTTTCTTTCCAAAACAATGAAAAAGTTTATTCAAACTAACTCTATGAAACAAATAACTGAAATACGCTTTATCCTTATCTCCTAAATCCTTATTTTATACGAATGAGAGATTTTTGCGCATAAAATTTGTAAATAAAAAAACCATTGTTAATTAGTGACAATGTTTCTTGTCTGTACGTGTCAACGTTGTTCGCGGGAAATCGTTTTTAGCCGGTACCTCTTGACAGCTTTGGATTTTCGAGAGAAGTGGTTCTATGGAAATAAGAATCGTTGAAACGGATTTACAAAGGGCGCTTTGATGTGTTCTCTCCGTCTGGAACTAGTGCTATTCTATCGTTCCGAGCACGTCGGTATAACTCACTTTTGCAGAGAGGCAATCACATACATATTTACCCGGATATATACATCTTATTCATACCTGTTAGACTTAAATTGAATATATACACCCACACGCCACACGTTCTTTTCAGTTTACGGTCGTCCTTCTCTTTCTCTCTCGCCACTTTTTTTCCTTCTCCTCCTCTTCCGATATAACGTCTTAGTCTTTAACCTAAATTTTTTTTTTCAATCTCTCCGTTCTTTACTGACATCAAGAAACTTCGTTCCGCGAAATAGACATTCTCAATTATTATTATGAAGGCGCAGTTCCAACCACCGTGTCCAATTATATCCCGCGAAACTAATCCGCAACTTTCTTTCCTAAATTTCGCGCTCGCAACTCGTAATAGGATTTTGAAAGCATAACTCGGCCCCCGAGCTCCCACGGGCCGGTCACGCGAGCAAAATTTTTGCTGACATAACGAAGAGCGGAAAAAAATGGGACGGAGTACGTTATGAGGTGATGAGAATGTTCCGGCGAGATAGACGTCATCGCCCTGATTGTGTTATCACGGCGGAAATGATAAAAGGATTAGCGTAGACGGAAATTTGCATGAGTTCAAAAACAGCTGAAGGTTGATTATTGCACACAAGGGCTTTAGTGTATATACATTTCTTCTTATACTTCATTCAGAAGAAACTTGATTCGCTAAACACACAGACACAAACTTTTTATCAGATACGTATATTCGTACAAGATGTAAATTTTTTTCAATTATATCTTTTACACATATTTTGCTTAATCATAATTTTATTTATATATTACACATTCTGGAAGAATACATACATGTACATATAACTTATATTACATACCGTTCGCGCTAAATTTGTCATTATACAACTATCATATATCGAAAATACACGCATAAACAGCGAGAAGGAAATAAATTTTGACAAGTGTGTGTTCCGTCACTTCTGTAAAAATAAGTATCAAAATGCGATTTTCGCGAGTTGAGTTCTCGTGTGTCTGGTGTCGAGAGCAAAATTTCTGTGCGCGTGACAGACTCCGCTCCGAGATTCTCGCGTATTCCTTTCCATTCTCAAGAGAAAACATACAAAATCTGCGAATAATATTCCGCGCTTTCGTTGCATCTTCTTCAATAGGTCGAATGAGCACAAGTCAGCACAGTGATGTTGCATAAGGGAGAGAACATGCCGGAAATACGCGCCTTCGTTGATATCGGCGCGCGCGCGCGCGGGACGAGTTCGGATGATGTTCGTATGGAAACTTTCACTCACACGGCATTTTCTTATGTAGACTCTCCTCGTACGGCTCTCTCGCGAATATTTGCAAAACGCTGTACGTACAATTCCCGGCCTGCCTTCCAAATCGATCTCTCACGAACGGTCGAGATATTGTCGACTTTCTTATACTGGAAAAGACCTCGCGTTAAGATGATTTATAATGGAGCACTCGTATCATTAATATTGTACTATTGACACGCTCTTAATCGGATTGAACGGAGCTGCACAGAGCAAAAGCACGATAGAAAACAAGATTCAACAAGCTCGATCTCAGGTTCAATGCAATTGTAGAGTGTAACATAGATCATGTTTACAAGTTATTTATCTTAAAAGTTTATTTGATTATCAGGTCGTTCCAGATACAACTACCATGTCCTCTGAAGTTTCGATTCTCGAAAAAAAAATTTCACGCGAAACTTACCGTAAAAACTTAGAAAAAAAAAAAAGATCTTACCTTATCTAATTTTATTTGTGTGAAAACTGAAGAATAAAATGTACGCGACTACCAGTATCGGTGGCATAAACAGAAAGAACAAACGAGTGACGTTCACGAATGTGAAATTGTCCTCTTTGACGCAGTACTTCCGGCTGGCAGCCGCGGCGCAGAGAACGTAAGCTTCGATGTCGATCTTCGCGGTGACCGGAAACGCGTTGTGCTCCTTCGTTGAGGCGAGGCGTTCCTGCAGCCGGTACACGCGATTCCTCTCCGCTGACCACGGTCTCGATGAAATTGACTTCAGAGATTGAAGTGCATTACGAACTCTGTCGTACTCCGCGAGAAACCTGGGGAGCAGTAAAGGTTTTTTTTTTTTTTTATTTCCAGGACCGGAGTCGCTTTTTCTTTTGCTTTCGCTTTTTCCGTTAATGTCCGTCTCGCCTGATCCTCCCGGCATTCGAACTCGCGACACTATTCCGATTAGTTGTATTTTTTTCTTTATTTCTCTAGTAAGCAAACGGAGTTTTCGTAAACTACTTAAAATCGCATTTTTTTCGAACATATAAGATATATATATATATATGCGACAAAAATGAAACGAGAGATTGATTTTTAAATAGTTATTTTAGTCGAGAAAAAATATTGTAAAGTACCATTAAGCGCGAGCGAGATAGTAAAAAAAAAAGTTCTTCGGTCCGTCGCGAACTATATAATTTCCAATCCAACTTATTACGGAGGAATCGCGGAAAACTTGACGAGAAGAGTTTTCTCTCGAAGAAGAAAAAAGCCCGAGCTAAGTTAGCGCGACGAGATTTATTCCGCACGCGCGTTTGAGAGTAAATTAAAAAAAAAAAAAACAAAAAAAAAATCAAAAAAGTGTTTGACAGGCCGAAGGCAAAAATATTTTTGTTCGCGAATCAATTCACGAATCAATTTCCACAGTGACTGTATTTTTTGTTTTTCCTTCTTTTTTTTTTCTTTTTTTTTTAATTCTCCTCTCCGTCCTGTTACGCATTAATACACGCAGACAACAAAAATAAAAAAATATTCACGAGAGAGATTTCGTCAATGCCAATTGTAAACTCTTTCTTTTTTTCGGAGAAAGTTTGTTAAAAAAATTCATGGTTCGAGTGTGAGAAAAGAATTACGGAGAAAATAATCACTATCGAATACCGGATCTGTGAGTGCGTTGTAGTAAGTCGATACGCACAAACACTTTTAGAAGTGCATGTAAAACCGAATTTAGATGGGATGGCCCGTCAGGAAAGTTTTCTCGTCGCGACCACACGGCATCAGACCTCATTTTTCAAAGCAATCAGACATCGAGCGGCGCAACTTCCGCGTCCGGAAGAAACGAGTTTTTCCGTTCGAGATGCAATTCCCTCCTTTTCTCGGCGTTCACTCGCGCGCGAGCGAGAGTCGTCGAACCTGTTTACGTCGCTCGCGCCTAAATCGCAGTTCCTGATAACTTTTACTTTTACGATCCTCGATGCGTTAAGAGCGGTATGCGCGACGGCGGAGCCTTTCACAACGCGAGAGAAGTTAAGAGAACGGAGGCAAGCGATCGCGATCAAACTTTCGCTCGAGTCTCCTACGTCGAAACTTGGCTCCGCTCGCGACAGTACGTTATCATCCAAAGTTCGTGGTTTCACATGTACGAGGAATCAAATTACTCTTTAATCGCAAATGCAACGAAGGGTTATCTCTCGGCGGATCACCATAGAGATTTTAATACTGACTCTGATCGTTTTACAATCTCCCGGATTTATATATTCGTCGCGATATTAAACGGCGAAACGTGCCGAAATTGTGAACACCGCGCGAGCTTTGCTATAAATGACATGATAAAGTAAAATATACACACGTATATAAATATAAATAGAAATAGATAAAATTTCGATGATTTTGACATTTTGTCGAATGAACGTTTCATTCCAAAGTGGCGAAGTACAAGTTCTATCTAAAGATTTATATTTTAACGCGCGACATGTGTGAGCTCGGTTTTAAATTTTATTAGAAATTACGCTATAAAACGCATTATACAGTAAAATGTTACTATTTTAGAAGATGACTTAGTGCCTTTAATAGCTTCGCGTTTCTACGAAACAAGTTAATATCGCGAGCAAATTTAATATTGCCAGCTGTTGCAGGAGCGCAGCGAGAAACCAACTTTAAACTTGGACAATACTCCGGTATACAAGTAGCTCATCCGTCTCTTTGCGATCAAGCGTCTAATATAGATATATATACATATAAAAGGTAGCAGAGAAAGAAAGACAATAACGTTATACAAAAGTAAAATGTAACATCTAACCAGAGTGGAGTTGTTCAATTTGTACACGTCGCGCTTGCATAAAGCATTTATAAATTATTCGCGGGCGATTAAAAAATAACCAGGATCAATCTCGACGTTTTCTCAGCAAAGTTAGTGACGGCAGCTCAAAATGGCAGCGTTAAATTTTCCGCGAAACTCGCGAGGGACGCGAAGAAGGAGGAGGATATCACGCTTGCAACGCAGACGTTGACGAAACTATGACGATAAATTCGTGACTCGTGGAATTTCGAAATAAATTTTGCGCCCGTGGCGATACCTCTGCTTTCTGCCGCAGAGAAAAAGGACGGTGTCGCAGAGTATAGATGGCAGCCATTCGAGGAGCAGGACCAAAATCCAGTGCAGTGGCTCGATGGACGTCATTCCGCGGATACCGAAAGTCGGATAGGGGAAAGCCCAGCTGGCTCGTCGGCTCTTTTTAATCAGATCTCCCCACGTGCAGCCCAACGTCGTCGCGTTGTAGACCACAGGCTTCGCAACGTTGGATCTGCATGAAAAACGTGAGAGAGAAAATAAGAGCATGCAAAGTAGTATAGGAGCGCGCGTGCGCGCGAGTGAAAGAGAGCGCACAATGTCGCACACCCGGCGGCAATTTAGCTGTTGCACAGTGCGATAATTAACCGCTCCATTTGCAGCCAAACGTACCTAGTTTCTTTTATTCAGAGTGCGATAATTTACACGAGCGCATTTGTACACTAAATAGTTGACTTGTGTATGTACATATAGGGTTTCAAAACAAGGTAATTCTGTATAAACACCGGTTGACAATAAATTACATTCAACATCAATCGCAAATCAAAGGGAGAAAAAAATATGTAATATATATATATATATATATGTATATACATTGCGTAAACTTTAGTTTGTGAATTTACTTCTTTGATGAAAGTATTGCGGTAATTTCGGTTTGCTAAATGATTTATTATTGAAGTCTTTACACGGGGCCGTACAACACCTCGAAACTTTACAACGTAACGTTATTTCCTTACAAGACTACTTTTAACGAGTACCTGTAATTAATCGTATTTCTGGCTACTAACTCCTCTCAAATGGGAGGGTAATCGGTAAAGACGAAAGGAGAGAAGCACGAGAGGCAGATGTAGCGCGCTCTGCTTCTTGCAGGGCAAATGCAATCAACTTATTCGCAGTTCAGTCGTTCGGAAATACTTGAGAGCGAAGCGAAGAGGTGTTCCTTGGTGAAACTAGTATCAAATGTAAGACTTTCAAGGAAAGTTCTCACACCTAGGGGAGCCTAGCTACAAGTTTCATTTAATATATTTGTTGCCGGTTGATTTAAAACAAAGTTCGCGTTTCATAAACAAATGTTTGATGTCATTATCGAGCGTTTTATCGTTTAATCGAACTCTGGTATAAAATGTACAAGATAAAATAACGAAAAAGAAACAATTTTCGTATCGCAGTGATTAAAATCGATATTTCTACCGCGAATATTATTTTCGACTGTGTAACAATGCACAGGTAGAAACATAGGTACATATATCTGCATATCTTTTGGTTGCTTCGTTTGCTGTAAACCGATCTGATATAACTCAACTATTATTCTTGCCGAATACGGGACGCAATTTGCTTATCGATTTCTATTACCGGCTCATGCGCCGGTACAATAGCCGTTTGCCTTTGAATACAAAAGCATGGAATAAGATAAAACTCAACAAGTTTGCCACACATAGATATATTTTTTATAATTCTCGACAAAGAACGCAGTACTTTGTGAACTAGATGTGATTAGCTTTTTTCATACAGATTGTTCAAAAGGACTGTCAATAGCTGTGTTCCGTCAAAAAATGTTGCTGTATGCCATTTTGAAAATTGTACTGCACGCAATACATGGCTTTGGTACGGTTAAAAAAAAAAAAAAAAAAAAAAACATTTGTTGCGGCTGGTTTTTTAACATGAGAATCTTATGATATTGCGAAGACAGACAACCATGCTTTCAGCGGATTACGGAAGTGAATTTCGAATAAAAACTGAAAGGAACTGAATCCCGTTCTAGACAATTGGGGCGGAAGCGTCGGACGCGAGCAAACAGTAACAACCGCGGAAACGGCGCGCGCACATGTAAAACATGTTTGCTCGTATTCCAATATTTCGCATTGGAAAACTAGATAAGCCGCGTCTGCAACGAATTTCGATTGCGAGATATGTTAAAAACTGCAGTGTAGATAACGAAAACAAGGTTTTATTTTTTTACTAATATAGTTTTCTCTGTATCAAAAATAGAACTAATATTAGATATAAAAATTGTTCACAGATCCGTAAATATTGGCATCAAATTGCAAATTGTATCTCTCCGTGTTTTTCTAACTGATTCGCAGATTCTCGCGGAACTTTTACTTCGCAGCAGGTAGCAGCAATTACGTAACACTTGTCAACATTAATTGTCTTATATATATATTGTTCGTTTCTTTATATTATATGATTTGTTTTTCTTTTTATTACAACTGCGTTTTTATATTACTTTTCCAACATTTTCCTCCGAAGAACAATATCGAATAGCTTCGTGTTTGCGTGTCTTCATTGAGATGACACGTACCAATAATTTCTGAAATGAACAAAACCTGCTCCACGCTTTGAGAGAGGATGAAAGAACAGGTTTCGCAATATGTATCTAGAAGAGCAAAGGACGATGTCGCTGCATTCTGTTTTACGTCTTGTAATTAGACGACGTTGATTATCGCTGTTCCGCAACGTTGCATAACGTCGTGCATATTCCGCACCTTTAGCGTCGCTCGACTTTCTCTTCTTAATTAAACATTAAACAAACTATATTTCGCATTGTGATAGTCCTTATGTAAATAAGTGCGTAGATATAAGTTTGCCTCTGCAGAAGTTAAATTACTACTATATGGAACAAGTGACAAAATCGGTTAAGTTTAATTATAATAGTGCAAAGATATGGAATCGCAACAACAAGAATTAATTCTCTTTTAAAGAATAGCGTAACGCGTATAAGAAGCACTTGAGACGGAAAACTTTTTAAATATCTTGTTGTTATTAATTCACAACTTGACAAACTTAAATGAGATTTGTTTTTAGATTCTGTTCGATAATTTATGGACGTATAAAAATAGAATTCAGCAAGGACACAAATATTTACATTTTTTTATATAAATGACACTATGACCATAAAATACACACATACGTTACTGATTTAAATTTTATACGTACGTGCCGACTTCCCACGCAGCCGCGATCATCGTATTTACTGCTATGTCTCTTGGAATAACTTCAGCTTGTAGTTCCGATTTGCCATAAGCGAATCCGGCGCCTACCATGAGAGCCGTGGGTCCTTTTAGGATCTCGACGAAGCCGGGCATGGGTTCCTCGTGCGGTGGTCCAATGAGAGCGAAACGTATCAGTGCAATTGGCAAATCGGGCATCACGTCAGACTGCAGTTTTTCGTTTATCTGGCCGCGATGTTTAAAGATGCTGGACGCCATAGCGAGACACTTGAGCTTTGGCAGATCCTGACAATATTCCAGAACGCTCTCATGAGGTCCACCGGCGTGGAACACCACACTGACCTCTCTCAACAAGGCTTTCTCTTCATCATTTAGGCGGAGATCCTCGTAAAGCAGATTGCCCTCGACCGTTTTCACGCGCGAGATCGCGCCCGGCACCTCCTGCTTCAGTCGTTCGTACCTGCCGAGCGATAATAACGTTGGTGACGCAAATCGGCTTTGGAATTTACTGCTCTGCGAAAATAGGAAGATACGCCACCGAGACGTAAAAAATGATGCGCTTAGAAAACAAACGTCGTTAAAGAAATAAAACGTTCGTAAGAATTTTGTTGATTTTAACCACGTAGAATCTCGCATCCTTCGTTTGCCCATGGACGATGATAAATAGTATAACAATTAAACGAGTTATGGTAATGAAAGTGATCAGCAATTTTGAAATAAGATAGCCGATCGATTATGTTAATCTATGCACTTTTGAATATTCTATCACTATGTACAGAAACAAAAACATCTCATTCTTTTTTATTATATTTCACTACTTAAAAGTATTATGATAATAATTCTACAAACAACATTCTACAAACCGATATTTAAATTCGGTTCTTGAAGTAGTATTCAATGTCGAATATCTCTAAAATGTCAAGAGATTGTTAAATGTAAATTGAGTGTGACTATTAACAAGTGTGTATTTATTGTGATAAATACACACTTGTTCTTTCTCATTATGTTTTATTATAATATGATTCTTGTGTACAAATTCAACAGTAGATAATATCGCGACGATTTGAGCCCGGACGCAGAGATTTTTATATTACAATTGAGAGCATTTTGTAATATAAAAACTATTTTAAAATGAAACAATCTAACACAGGAGTCGCAAATAAGACTCCTGGAAAATCCGAGCAAGCTGCCGCAGTGCTCTGCGAGTGCGATATCGCCGAATGTAATAGCGTCGAAGTGGTTGCATCTTGAGCTGCTCGAGCCGCGCTCGTCCATTTGCATTTTCTCATTTACGCGCGCGCGTGGGGCCATCCTCTTTTTCACGCGGAAAAAAACGCAACGCGATCCGACGGTAACTACGATTTCCCGAGGGAAAGACAATCCTTTCGCGGATTTTAATTTCGCGAAATTCAAAACGCGCGGACGAATTTTCCGCGCGGTCGCGGATTTCGCGCGGCGCGAGAAAGAAACGCGAGGGAAAAAGAAATAGAGAATCGCGCCGCGCATACTTCATAATCTTTCCCCCTCTAAAGAGGGAGGGTGCGCGCGCTAATGAAAATAAATCTCTCTCCGCGAGCTCTTTATCCGCCCTCTTCTCATCCTCCTCTCGTAGGGAAAGAGGGTTGGTTGCAACGGTGCAACGGCACAGTTTCGCCTCGCGTGCATCTTGCGATGCACACCCGTTACGGGCGGATCGTTACGATGGACGAGCACGTAACGAGGCAATCGGGTTTACGCGTCCGTTCTAAGCGCGTGCGTTCGATCCTATCTCGCTCCTTCGGTCTTGATTGCGTCATTATTGCGATGCGATTTCGACTGAGCGATCGCAACGCGAGAGGCCACAGACGTATCGAATTCCGCTGCCAAACCGATATCGCTCGCGATAAGTTTCTGACTGTCATTACGAAGAGAAATCTCAAAGAAGGATTCGGCGATTCGTAAATGTCAGTTTGGAGAACTGAAAATCGCTCTTCATTTTATTTGATTTTTTATTTTTTTATTTTTTTTTTTTTTACATTACGTAAAACTCATATTTCGAACATTGACGAGCGACGTAGTGACGTTACAAATAATGCACATACGTTATATTGCATACGTTATATCAATTCGAAATTAAATTTATGTTGAATTTTATGGAGTTCCTGTCAAAATAACAATTCACGAGAGAGAAATCTACCGTGTTGCGTAATAACTTGAGTAACGGCTTGATGAACAAGAGCATAAAAAATTCTTTGAAAAAATATTTTTCGGTATATGCGTTACATTTTATTTGTTACAATTTGGTACGTTCGCGACACGCAAATTTTCACAATCGATTCCTGACATAAGGCGCGCACACCGTGTTGCCGAGATTTGTCTAGAAGACCACCGGGCGCAGAGAAACGATTGTCGTTTTTCGGTTCGAACGTCTTCTCGGAAATAAATTTGGCGCACGACTTAGAATCGCGGTCACACACACCGTGTGAGGGGAAGCTTTCCACTAAAGGCAAGATCGGACACGACCGGCACGATTTACGGACACGAAGGAAGAAGATACGTCGAGAATATGCTCATACCCGGGCGACGCAAATATCTTCTTCAGTCGATCCTCCTTGCTAAGGCCATTTTGTGATCTGAGAAGAACGTACACCGTGACGTTTGGCAAACTCCGCAGGATCTTTTCCAACAGCGCGCATCCCAATTCGCTGGTGGCTCCTATGAGGAGCACCGCGCGGTTCGCGTACCACTCGCACAGAGACATTCTCGATGACTGCCGGTCCGATCGAGAAGAAAACGCCGCTCTCCGTCCGTCACGGCGGTGAACGTACAGTCGTCTACATTGATATCCCACTGTGTACGCACCGGATCTACCGAGAAAAAGTTTTGGTCTGATGCAACAACCATTAAGCCAATTATTTTTACGTTGTTGTTATTATTCAAGATTAGAGAGAACGCAAAGTCATCAAGTCAATAGTTTCTTGCACGCAAATTACAATATAATAAAATTAATTTTTATATACATGTCGAATAATAGTCAATAATAGTCTCTTTCTTCGCTTTATAATTTTGTTTTGTCATGTTAAATATGAACTATTATATAAAGAGCAGTTTATTAATAATTGCTTGTTTATTTGCGCAAATTGCTTTTTTATTACATGTGATATGTTTATATTTTTGTTTGTAGAAAATTATTTAAGAAAATTAATTCAAAAATTAAATTAAAAAACAATTAATTCTTTCGTTTGTGAAAGAATCAGCACTAATATATACTACAGTTTCTTTAATTATACATGTCTAAAATTATACAGATTAGAAAATAAAGCTACCGCGAGACTGGTAATTAGATCGAGCCGGATGTCGATCCGCTTTGATGAAACGTGTCTTGATTGTTGCGAGCGATGATTAAACGGGACAAAGGAATTGAATAGACAAGATAGGAGCAATGTCTCAATGACATTGTCTCATGGTCGGTGTCTTGATGTAAATAAGAGCGACATTTACCATAGCTATATGTAATTAGATTGCCGATTACGTGAGCTTCGGATTAGCATAAAATCTATTACTTTGACCACACAGTCGAGCAATATCGTCTATTTTCTCTGTGTCTAGATTGAATATATCATAGACAGGTGCGTTAATGCCTTTAATTAACCACCACGCAAGTGAAGTTGCACTCTTCTCTCTCATTGTTAAGGCCTCCTCACAAAACCCTTTCGTAACGCGTTACGTTACGTTAAGTACTGATCATAAACATAGATTCGTACATAACTTTAAACTTTATTTAATGCACAAATAAAATTAAGGTATCATGTTTATGCAACAGTAAGTTAATTTTGTTTGTGCGTTGAATAAAGTTCAAGTTTACGAATCTAATTTTATGATCAGTATTTAACGTAACGTAACGAAAGAGTTTGTGCGGAGGATCTTAGAGTGTTATTGTGACTTTTTATTGGTGCAACTTCATGTACGCTTATTTTTGTCTCGCGCGTGCAAACGGAAATAGATATCAATTCGAACAAATACGCATCGTGATCATTTACGATGACAAAAAAGAACACACATGAAGCAAAATAAATATTTAGATCCGAAACACGCCGATGCGTTGTGATTCCGCAAATGTCTATCTATTAGATGAAGGCATTCGTGACGGTCGAGCGTGCGCTGCTCGGTGGCGAAATGATGCGTCCCACTAACTGCAATTCCGAGCCCGAAATTGATGTTACGACGGTCAATTGGCACAAATAGCCGCGACGCGGGATACATTCGGGTTTTTGACGTGTCCGGCCATTCGACGCGCGATTTCCCTGCTACGCCGTGTCGCACCCGGCCTCGGTTTTTCCCCCGTCGCGATATTTCCATGTATGAATATGTGCATTTTTTTTCTCGCTACCGTGCGCGCATGTTTCGCTTCGTGCACGCCCGGCTGCGCGCTTGTTTTCGATGCCCGGTTCCGGCGAATCGCGCCCGCTGGCTCTCTCTCGTTGTTTATACGAATAAAAAATCAAGCCAATTTGAAGCAAACCGTGGTTTTACACGCGGATGAAACCCTCCCCGCGAGATTTCCAGCGTCGTCGTCGAGAGCGCCATAAAGGCTGATCAATAAAGGTAATATGTGTAATGATACACCGTGCGTGCAAAAGCGCAAATGCTGTTTTCGCAGTAATTACTTTTTCTGATGAGCTGCGCAGGTCGTTCGATGTTATCGCCGCTCAAACGCTATTATCTATCGTACACATCATTAATATGCATAAATATATGTTAATAATCGACGGGACACGGTATATTATTGCAGCAATATCTTGACGCATCGTTACTCAATGATAAAAGATACATATATTTTTACATTTTTTTTATATTTTATAATTTTTACATGTGCGCGATATATATATCTCGTTTTTTTTTTGTTTTAAAAAAAATTATAACATTAATGAGATTTGTTAAATTATAAAATATATTATCTCCTTCAAAAATCCTATCCAAATTTACGTGTTTAACATGTGCGTAACAGGGACTATGAATGTAGGTGTGAAATATTACAGTCGAGCGGCCGAGCATTCGCATTATAAACACTGGCTTGCGCGAGAGAGATCGAGAATAAGATCGGTTTACTGGTGCGCTGTTATATAAGAGAGATTCAGATTGCGTGAAAGTGTTCGCTAGTTTTGAGATCGGCGAGTTATGTAAAGGAATTTGTTTGTCTCAATCCTTCGTGAATTTTGTCTCTTGTGAGACGCGCGCAATAGGAAAAAAAAAACACAAAACCCTGGTGAAATCGCGTTAATCGCTTTCGTTTCAGTTTATGTGCGCGCAAATTTCTGTGCCCGTCATAAGTGTTCCGCTACGTCTCAATTTCTCATTTATACAGTCTGCGTGTATAAAGGCGCGATCGCTTTTCAACGCTCGCCACCGGTCATCGATCTTCTTGTAAATCGAAATAAACGATTACCGGGCGATCGTGCGCTCGTGACGAATGATATTATACGTCGGAAATAAGGGAAACCCCCGCGGTGCTTTATGCATTTATGTATTACACCGCGCGGGGAAGTTTCTTTGGCGAGGAAGACGTGACGTGGAGGTCCTGCCGTTCGAACGCGTCGATGAATAAAACAGCATCGCGAATCCGACCCCTCGCGCGTCCACGAGCGTTTCGCTTCCCCGATATCAGCCTATATATTTTTTACCGTCCGACTTGGACGCGTTCCATACAGGTGCGCCGCTGCACATGCACGAATTTCTCCGCGTCGACGATATTTCGTCCACGTCACAGCATTTTACAATAGCGGAAACGATCAAGCAGCACGTAACGCATGTCACTCACTTCGTTCCGGATACACGCGTGTATCGCAAAAATTGGATTGTACACGCACACACTTACACGAAAACAGAGAGTATGTGAAACACACGAGCTCCAGGGAGGATATGTTGCTCGATTAACGCGACATAAATTAATTCACGGGGCTGTCTAATAAACTGATGGATTTATTTTTACTCAAATTGACAGCAACAAAATAAACGCGAAATAAACTGCACAAAATTACAATGCATAAAATAAAGCTTTATAATATTTTATGATATTTCTTTTACGCGCGCGCGTGCTCGTCTCACTTTTCGTTTAATCGAATAAAAATAAACATTTGAAAAATTTACATTCACTCGTTTTACTAATGTAAACTGTTTTCAAAGCGTATCCGCACCATTGATTGCCTTCAATCAACATCTTCTGCTATTTTGTACAAACTGCAGTAAAATTTGACGGAAAAACTTCATCGGTAAAATAAACAAAAATGGTCGCGCTCGATCAAAGGTGTTAACGCGATGATAATTGCTGTTCCGCGAGTTTTAACATCTTTAAGAGAGTTTCCGTACGAATATGCTTTTCTTGCGAATATTCAGTCCGGGCTTACTTCATCGTTTATGCTAAGCACGGAATACAGTATACTCGAGCATTGTTTTTCCCTTAGCCGAGCAAATAACCGTTAAGAGAGGCCGTTTGTGATACCGTATGAAACACACACGGAATCGCGCTATTACGCGGGCAAGATTAAAATTTGAATTGTTACGAATACAAATTTCTACGATGCGGCGCATCCTAAGTGGCTCGGATATTTCTAAATGGTAATATTGCAGTTTATAGTTACCGATACAGATTATAAGGCACGCTGTGTTATTAAACAACTCGTAATAGTAGCATGCATGTTAATCCTGCAATAGAAACTGCAATATCGCTGTCGACGAGTCTGCCGCAATTTACGCACTAACTTTATTTAATGAGACAAAGAGCTGTAGTAATCGCAATGTTAAATTGCAGCAAATCCAATTCCAGTCAAAATTATATATTATTGTATAACTTGTCTCTCGCAATATTTTTTTTTATGTATGAATTTATATCAATTTACTGTATAGTTTTCAATTAACGCAAGAGTTAACAGTTATACGTTTGTCTCTACACGGAAATTTTAAAGACTTTAATTTTCATTATTTTATCCATATTTATGTTTTTATTCACTACATATTTGACTACAAGTAATTACTTTCTTTGTAAATGTATTGTATTTTTAGTCATGTTAACGTGATTTCCTCGGAAATTTTGCATAAACAAAATAAACAAAAATTGTCTGCAATCATTATATAATATATAAATTTATATTTTATATTTTACTTTTTTTCTATATATACATATATGTATATGTGTTTAGATACGTGTATATTTATTACATATTTGAAAATAAAACGTATATTGATTTACTTGATTTCAAACAATGCTAATGCATTCTGCGAATCCATATAATACATGTAAATTAAAACAGTTTAGCTATTGCAGTAAATTATTATAGAAAAAAACAGAACACGTTGCTTTAATAAGCATAATTCTTCAACATTGAACACACAATTATTACGCGTATGTGGTTTTATAATAAGAATAATTTATTAATGACGTCGCACGTTTAACAACATGAGTAGTTTTTCATGTTTTTTTTGTTGCAAATGACGCACGCTAGGTATTTAATTCTAAAAGTGTAAAAAGATTAATAGCTCGAAAGATTAAAGTCAAGTAGTAAACTTTTGTAGATCTAGTAATAGGATTTTACTCAAATGTTACTGTATACATAAAATTAAAATTAATAAACAAATGATTCTGCTATTACACACGGAGATTTCTCCGGCGGATCTGGTGATGATCTTAACGATTTTGTCCAATAGAGTTTTCGCTTTCGCGAGCTTCGCGGGTTTGTCCTCGTAACCTCTCAGCACTCGATCAATTTCTGGGCTGAAGACGCACCGCTTCATTTCCGCATCGTATACGTAACCCAGTCGGCAGACGCAAGTGTAATGACCGAGCAGGTTCACGCAACTCTCACCGGCATCTCTCGTGCAATTGTGCGTGCCGCGAACGCATTCGTTCACGTCGACGCACAGCCCGAACCTAGAGGACCACTCGTGCCCGGGTCGATGACACTCGCAGCTCACGTTTATCTGGTTCGCTGTCAGCGCTTGGAAGTCATGATTCTCGTTTCGGTTTAGCGTGCATCTTCGGTGAACTACAAAGAAAACGTGACGGTTCGGTCGGTTTGTTGAGGAAAAGAGAAAGACCCTAAGGGCTGCACAAGTGGCGCGTGAAATGCAAACGAGCACGCTCAGCTCAGCCGCGGTAAAGCAGCTTATTATGTTCGTCGTAAACAAAGCGAAACAATCTCAACTACTTCAAGCTGAGATTAACGTTGGTACAAGTTTTACCAATTTTGAAATTAAAAACTCAAGTTATTCGCACGTGTTTTCTCTCTGCGCGCGTGTGCGTGTGTGAGAGAAAGAAGGAGTTCTTTTTCCTAGTTTCTTCTTCGAGCTATTAATTATTTTCTTCCGACAAGCAGCTATACGGTACTGAAAATACGATATATCGTTCACAAAGTCGAGAACAACATGCTCAAGGCTAGGGTTACATGTAAAACGGTTTTATCGATATAATGAAGCGTCACGAGCGCCGTGCGTTACGTAAAAGTAACTCGTAGTCGCCAGTGTTGAAAAATCTAAATATGCTTGCTCGCGCGCGCAATAGCACAGATAATTGTGTCTTCGCACCTGGTCGATTCTCAGTGTAGCAAGGATTGCGCGGCGACTGGTAGCAGTCTTTCATGTACCGGATGTGCTTCATGGGACAACAATGGTCCGGACAGAAACTGTACAGAGCGCAGGCGTACGGTTTCGTGTCGTCCGCCCGTGGATCCTGGTTATGAACGCCGTATTCATCTAAGCAGTTCGCGTGATTGTCGCAGGACTCGCCAAAGATAGTTAAGTCCGAAACGCCCAACATCGTGTACCAACACATATAGTAGCTGACGGTGGTGCGCCACTGGAAACGTTCTGAAAATAATATCCGACAATCTTCCAAAAAGATATCTGACAACATATTACCTTGCGCTACCAGAATTAAACGGTTTAAATCGAGATATAATTCGCTTTTCTAATCTTGTTGCGAAGAAACTACGTTCACTAGTCAGATTGAACACAGTTCATTTGATGAATTTGCAATATTCTTCAACTGACACAAAATTAAAACAGTAAAACAAATAGTATATAAAAACGCTTTTTAATTTATCTCTAATTAAATTATCTAGAAATTAGTAGTAAATTAACATTCGAGAGATTTATTGCTTCGCCTGGCATATATTTAAGCCGCATCTATCGCGATCTGATCATTCGATCGGAAAACGACTCGACCACGGGCGTATGTAAAAGTAAGCTCAATGTTCCAATGGGATTAAAATAATCCGTAGCGAATAAAATGTACTTGCCGATTGGTCCTTGAAAAGGAATCATAGTGATATTGTCTCGTTTTTGTGCCGTCTGACAATCTCTTTGAGCGGCTAGAATTTGCTCGGTATTATTCGTCAGAGTCCACTTGCGCTCCCTCATGACCGTCACGGTATCGTCCTCGCGTCTAAGAGCCGTGAGCTTAATGATCCTGTCAAGATACTTCAAACACTCGACGAAGCTCGCGTCGCAGTGCTTGCGCACCTCCCAGTGCAGGGATCGCAGACCGGGTCGCGGGAATTCCTCGTACAGCCGGTTCGGTGTCTCGTTCGCGCTCTTGTAGTACCGGCGATCGTAGTCGTGGAACTTGTGAGCGCGAATAAAATACGCGACGTCACGAATAACCCGATTTCGATCCAGGCTGGATTCCGGCACGTTCGTCGACACGTCGGGGTCGGGTACGTCGCTCACCTTTATGTTGAGGTCCATAACCTGCTCGGTCATGGGCACTTGCGGCATTTCCACTTCTTCCGTCGTGCTAGAAGCGTCCGTTGTCGTGACGGTGGGCTCAATGGTGGTTTCGATCGTGGGCGGCAAGGGAGTTGTAGCGATCGTTGTTAATGGTACACGAAATAGGATGAGAAACACACAGACGGGATGTAGTACGTACTTGTCAACCTCCATTTTGAACGCCAGCTTCTCGCGAAAAGCTTTTTGTTTTGCTACGACGCGGTTCGCACGAAATTTCAAAGTGTTACATATTTTATATCTTGCCACTATATGCAAGTGCTATATGTAGTATATATATTTTTTCTTTTCAGGATGCAAAGCTATTCTCTCAAAGATTCCGTCTTTTTTTTATGAATTCCGAGGGGAAAGAAACATTGTGCCCGAGTTTAAAAAAGCTATATTTTTTCCTGCGAATTTTTCTCCTCCGGATGAGGAGATACATTTCTCTCTCCATTTTGCTTTTTTTCTTTCTCTCTCTCTCTCTCTCTTTCTCGCGTTACGTACGGAATATCGGACGGGCTCGAGGAACGCGACGCATCCTATTACCCGACGCGCAGATGCGCGTTCAAATTACTCGAATCGGGAGGAACGCGTCGCGTATCCGTCCCGTTCCTCATGACGCTGAAGAGGTGAAATGAGATGAAGAGGATGAAGAACGGGCGAGGGGAGAGGAAGAAGAACGAGGTACACGGAAAAAGTTATATTAAGCCGTATCCACTGCGCTCGGGTGTTATTCATCTCCTGGCGTCGTCCGCCAACTTGCGGTTTACGTGCGGGTGTCTCGCCGGTGTGGGTAAGTACCCAGTTATATCTCATTCAAGCCGTGGCTTTATTCGGCCGGGTGACTCTCCGCGCCTTAGACGACCCCCGCGTCTTCCGCTGGTGTCTTAGCGGACTTGTGGAAAGTTCCGCAGAGGCTCGTGTAGCAGCGCGTAATAAGAGAGACCCACGCTAAACAAGATGAATCAACTCGGCCCTCGACAAACCTGACATTTTGAGTGGATCCATTTTGACTCTTTAACCGTGCCATCGACTGTGTATTCGCTCGCGAGAGTATATATTCACGGTGCTTATCAAAAATGTGTTAAATTGCTTGAATAAAGCTAATTTCGTGAAAAATTCATACACCTAATTTTATCTTTAGAAACGCTATGTTTTGATATTAAACAGCATGATTATATTGCGAACTTAAATTTTTTTTTAATTTTTCCTCACGTCGTGGTATCGTGAGAACAAAGTAAATTAACATAGGGGTGCTGAATTTTATTTCACAAACCAGCTACTCGTAAATATAAGCGTAAGCTCGCGCGAACAGCCGCAGGCGAGATATCTCGCGTTGAATTTCGGACTCGGTCCAGCGATCTTCTTCGAGAGCTCCCGTTCGCACGGAAAAAAGAGAGAACCTCGCAAGCTTCTAACTTCTCGCTCATCGCGTATTCCAGTCAGCACTTTCGAAAGACAGAGTAACGTCCAATCCGACGGCGAAACTGGGTCAACATTTGCTCGGTGATCTGAGAAAACGGCGAAATACGGGCGTGCAGCGCCCCAACGGGGGCGCAAGAAGCGTTCGCCCTCGCAGAATTTCATTCGACGCAAGAGCGATTCGAAAGTTTTGCCTCCTCCTATCTAGCCGATTCGCTTTAGTGCCCCATCGTGCCGACGATTCACCGTTTATCTTTGATAATGGCGAGCAAAAAGGCTCGGAGGCTTCGCGATGGCTTATTAATTCCTTGACAGTCTGCGAAACTAGTTGGCGAATCATCGACTTCGGTGTTTCTCGCTCGAGCGGCTTCCCGCTTTACTTCCTGGCTTATTATTCGCGGCGTGAAAATTGAAAGAAAAAAATCCGGCGAATCCGCAAAACGCTTTTTGTATATCCAAACAGTAGTAAAAAGTCTAGTACAAATATGAATTTTCACACACACAATAAAGCTTTCACACGATATAGCTTTTTTATTTTATCAAGACGAGGACCTTTTTTGTGCTCAAATTTGCTTGTTGATGAGAATATTTTATGATAATTATATGTATCTAGAGCTAAGTTTGATTAATAACAATAACGCTTGGTGAAACGATACGCGTTAAAAACACGCTTGTGGGATCTACTGATAATATTTTCTAGCGATGTGTATACATTGTATCTCATTGGGACGATTAAGCGACAATATGAGCGGAAAAGCGTGGGGAAAAAATGCAAGTGGATCATATTTGCGTAACGGTCCGGGAAATACGGTAAAATCTGGCGCATATAGTCGAGGCTCAACAATGGCGAGTGCTATTGGCCGATATGGCATGCGACCAATATCGTACCGAAACTCCTGCAATTCCGTCAGTACTCTGAAACGATAAACCATAATGGAGCGATGTGATTTCATCCGGCCGAAACGAAAGCACTGTGTTAGTACGCTAAAATTGAAAACACAATCTGAAAAGACGAATTTAATTGGATTCGGAGGCTCTTAAAAGAGCGGGCTTAAAAGAAACGTTGACACTAGCGACGCGTACCTCTTTGCAAAAATCCTCTCTCTTCCTTTGTCATGATTTAGCGAAACGGATTACGGCGAGAGTTGCAATATTTAGAATGAAATATCTCGCTTGGTTACAAAAAAGTCTGTTAAAAAAACACCGAGTACCAGAATTTCCATTGAAATCGAATTGATACTTTTAACGCAGTCGGGCATGGACTTTTCTCAAATACAGAAATCAATTAACGTTACGAATAGAATAGAAAAATATAGAGAAAGAGAGAGGAGAGAAGAGAGAGAGAGAGAGAGAAGAGGAGAGAGAAAGAGAGGAGAAGAGGTTCAAGCAACGATCGCGTACCTTCTTTTCGCTTGAGCAATATTAAAACTTTGCCTCTCGATTGAAATCGCGTGCAAGACGATGCGAGGGAGAAGTGCAACTGAAAATAGACGCGAGTCAACATTTGCTCGGTACCGCGGAAGTGGAAAAATAACATTGCTGTTCGTGATTTCAACTCGCCGCGATATCGATCGATTCGTTTAGTGGAAAGACAACCGACTGGAAAACTGCGCCTCGTCATTGATCGATTTTGAACCTGTGAAACGATAAACGATAATGGAAAGGCCCGTTTGTCGCGCACATACGCTCAAAATTACACATTCCGCGCTTTGTCGGAATATTCTACAGACTAACACTTTATTTATTATTTTACAGGCTTTCGAACATCCTTGCGGATAATAGAGATTCGTTTTTTTTTTTTTTTTTTTTTTTTTTATATCTGCGGAAGCTCTTGACTCCGCTGCGCGAATCCTTTCTTTCGTTCAACATTTTGCAGAAATAAATTCACAAAGAGACAATATATAAGAGACGAACTATAAAAATCTTAATGATAAAAGAATAGAAAGATGAATAGTGCACAATTAAATTAAAAAAAAAAAAAATACATAAAGTATAAAATTATTTTTTAATTTTTACTTTCTCGCACAGAAGCGCTGCTTTATTATTTTGGCAAAAAAATAACGATAATAAAAAACAAACTTAATTGCTGGCGCAAAAAGCAATCTAAAAATTTTTCAAAATTCACATTGTACATGGTAAAAATTTAATTACGTTTTATTTTCTTATACAGTCGTTATATATGTAATCTCGGAGAACATATCGTTATTTTAATGAAACTTTGGTTCTTTTGATAACTTTTTCAGACTCTCCTTGCGCGCGCGAGCATGTTGAAAATTTTAAAACAGTTTTTGTGTGAACCTCATATAAACTTAGAAACACAAAGTTAGGAGGAATTTTCATTAAGAGAATGAGATATTTATTGCCGTGTGTACGTCACAGCACTTAACTACATGTTTTACTCGCTAGTGACATTTATAACTAGTCACAAAATTTAAGAGTTTTTATGAAACTTGCAATCCCTCTTCGGTCAAATTCCTTAATTTTTAAAGAAAAACCGCAAGGTTTTAAATCTCTCTTTAGATGCGGAAAGAGGGACAGAAATGTTTTTGATGTGCGGTTTTTTATAAAAATTTATAATTCCAAGTGTTTTTCGTCGCGTAAACTCGGTACATTTCTGATCGAGTAAAAGCGTGAATTTTCTGGAATGCTGTGTGTGGACGCAATTATGCAGAAGATGCCGCGTTCCATGGCACACACAGCCGCATACATATAACGTGTTCACAGCTCTCTGGTATATCGGATGGCGTTCACCCGTTCTCCATCTCTCTCTCTCTCTCTCTCTCTCTCTCTCTCTCTCTCTCTCTCTCCCTCTCTCTCTTTCTCTCTCTCTCTCTCTCTCTTTCTCTCTAGTGTCTCTCTCTTCTCCTTTACACAGTATCTGCAGTTACGTGACAGCACGTTGCAGCTCGCCGGCAAAATCGACTAGCTACGCCAGATACATTGATTAACAATACAATCATCCCGCGATAAACGCGATACCTGTCTTGCTCACTGATACTTGCAATTTCTTCTCGCAGCTATCCACGCGGAAGTTTGTAGACTTTAGCTTACGTTAGAAGCCGGTGTAGCAGGCCACGAGCTTCCTAAACTTCCTTAGATAATACACCGTTAATTAACTTCTCGTTTACTTACCCGACCGCTTAATGAAGCTGAACGTTCCTTATCGCTATCATATATCTTCGATGTTTGCCACCAGCGCGCGCTGCTTGCCCAGTGTGAAATAAACAAGTCAGGTGTTCTCTTCAGTGTTACATTGAAATTATTTTCCTAGCTTGTTTTTCACCTTGTGTTTAATCTACAAAACACTTGCGATGTGTAATAGTGTAATTAAAGAACCGTTCTGAGAGAAATTTTCGATATTAATAATTACCGCGATAATAGTGATGATGACAGTAATGAAACTATCAAATTATCCCAAGAGGATTACCAGAACGTAATGATATCGGATTTCCAGCCTTATGCAAGGGGCCACTCGACAAATTCATAAAAGCCTTTCAAGCCGAGAGGGAAGAGGGAGGCAAGAGAAGGTTTGGGCGGCGCACGCGCACGTTTCTTGAAGGTACTTCTGGTTAAAAAAAAAAAAAAAAAATTCTGTGAGAGAGAATGGAGCGATTACGCGAAACCCCGGCTTATCGACTACGCTCGCCCACCTTCGCGCTATAATGGCTCGAATTAAGTACCTAAGGGGACGCCGGGCTTAAACGAGATCGTCCTTTCAAAGCGTGGCTAGCGTTCTTTCGACTCTCGAAGAA